ATTTAAAAAAATTCAGAAACATTTCAAATCAGAATTTTAATAAATTAGAATGAAAAAACTTATTCAAAGAGACTGGAATATGAGAAATTAAAAAAGGGGCAGATATCCTTTCTCATTTCAATACCACCAAAATAAAAATTAAATAATAAATAGGTAATTACATAATTACTCTTAATGAAAATCAATACTACAAAAACATTAAAAATCTCATTTTTACTTTCTTCAATACCAAACACACAAAACCCCATCCAACCCCTCAACCTCCTCGTTCTTCTTCTTCTTCTTCCTCACAACACACCCTCCTAAGAAATCTCAAAAGTAAAGAAATCAAAACGTCACACAACTTACAAAATTGAGTCAAATGACAACAAAATTGTAGTTTACAACCAAGGAGAACCCATTAAGGTATGTATCCATGTTTTTTTTAAGCTTCAAAGTCAATTTTGAATATTTGTTTTTGAAACCCACCTACAATTTTCGCCACATACAGGTCGATTTTTTTCTCAATTTTCGACACCAACTTGTCGAAAAGTATATTTAAAAAATACGAATTTCGACATATACATGTCGAAATTTCTCCAAATTTTGACATGTATGTGTCGAAAAACCACTGCTGCTTTCATATATATATATATATATATATATATATATATATATATATATATATATATATATATATATATATATATATATATATATCACTACAAGAAAATGTAAAATAGGCAACGATTTCTATATCGACGAAATTAGTTTCGTTGCCAATGGTTATATTTTAGCAACGAAATATAGTATTTGTGGCTAAAGATTAACATTTTTGCAACAAGATATTTTTGTTGCCTTTGAATTTCATAGGCAACGAAATATATTGTTGTGAATAGTATTATATATATTTCACAACGAATTTCATGTAAGACAACAACTTGTTTTGTTGCAAAAGAGTATTTCTTTTTGCTACGATATAAAATTGTAGTAAATACATTTACAACGGCAACAAACTTAT